TCCAGGGACCGGAAGATGGTGGGTGACCTGGCTGGGGCCCAGACTTAGGCCTCCACCGCCAAGTGCCTGAACATCTGGGCCCTGGTCCTGGGCCTCCTTCTGACCATCACGGTCATCATTTTCTTTGTCACTGGATCACTGATGATTTCCCAAACAATTTCGGAGATCATAAAACATTATGGAGCGTACTCGTAGCTGCCCGTGGCCTGAGGCTGTCACCTCTGTCACAGTGTTTTATGTATATGTCAATCTGCCATCGTAGTCAATAAAGCACTTGTGTGAGGGTGCTGTGTTTTCACCTGGGGAGGGGCCCTTTGAGACTCCCCACCCTGCCCCTGAGCCCGCGTCGTCCTCATTGCCCACCCGGACCCTGCTGTGTGTTATGTGTGTGGTGGGTGGGCTTGTCCTGAGGCCTTGCCTGTATCTGGCCTCCAGCTGGGGCAACACACGGAGGATGGTTTCAGGTAGAGGTCCCTCCTTGCCAGAGGTCTGAGCCCTGACCAGATGGGTTCATTTGGAGAAGGGTGGCACTGGGTCCAGCATGTTTTTAGCTTCCAAGGAGCCCACTGGCTGGGGAGAGTTGCAGGGCACCTGATCCAGGTCCTCCTCTGGAGCTATGTAGTCCCAGTTTATCCTGCTCTCCAAATAGGGGTGTACCCTTGCCATGAGTGGAAATTCTTCTGCCATGGCCTCCATACTGTGGACACCGTGGATGCGCCAAGGCAGACCCTGACGGCAACCAGCTGGACAAGTGAGGTGTGAGGTGGGATGGTAATACTCCCCCCCCACCCCGTCCTCCCCTGTACACTGGGACCCAAGCTGCGGTTCACCCACACCCCTATCCCTGCCTGGAACCACAGTGTCCTAAATCAAGGATGCACCGGGGGGCTTGGGGTACCCTGGGTGGAGGAGGGGACGCTGGGGGATCCGCCCCTCGGGCCGTGGAGACACTTACTCTAGGCCGCGAAGGGGCCGGTCGGGTCAGAAGAGGGCGGTCGCCCTGATCCCCGGACCCCAGCCAGAGGGGCAGGGCAGCCCCTACCTTCCCGGGGCTCCCAGACCGGCTTCTGCCAAGGAACACGTGCGCCCTCCCTACCCTCGTTCCCCACTCTGGACTGAACCCGGGCATCTCAGGAGTCCTGCCCGTCCGTGTACCTCCTGGGATCACTGCACACAAAGCCGCCAGAGAATATTCTTTCCCAAGGGCTCTTTGGAAAAGACTCGGCTGCCCCTGGCGCCGGCCGGCTCATCTCCCCCTCCCCCAACCCAGCTGGCCCACCCCCCTCGGCCCCGCCCACCTCCGGGACGCCTTGGCCACAAGGGAACCAGAGCCTGTCGTGGGGCTCTGAGGACCACGGCTGCTCGCGGCGCCCCCCTTCCCGCGAGTCCTTCCAGCGTCCCCTGGGGCGCTAAGACCCACCTTCCCTGGGGCGGTCCCGCTGCTGCTCACCCTCCTGGGACCCCGGGGAGCCGAGGCGCCCCTGCGCTTCACAGTCCACCCAGGGGATGGGATATTTTTAAGGCTGCCCCTGCTTGTGGAGGGGAGAGCGAGGGGCAGGAGCTCACCCTTGAGCAGCTTTCCACCATGTGGCTGATAAAGTAGACGTCCCGCCACGTGCAAAGTCCATTGTCCCACAAAATCAATGAATAAATTGTCAAAATCAATTTTTTAAAATTGTGGTGAAGCATATATAACATAAAATGTACCTTATTTTAAGTTCTAAATTTTAACCTTATTTAAGCATACAACTAAGTTTCTTCACCTGTAAGCTAAGTATCCAAAATGTGGGTGAACGTGGGAGGAAGGATAATGGTAGAATCAGCAGAAACAGACTCTGTGAGATTTATCTCCTACCCTTCTACATTTTGGTATTTTTCTGCTTGCCACTCATCAGCTGGTGCTCAGGAGAGCTGGAGCACCTGGAGCCCATACTGCCCCAGCACCAGTCTGAGATCTTCGCCTCCACCCAGGATCCAGAGCAAGATTTCAGCTGTCAGCTCTAGGAGCTCAGGGGAGAAGAGCAAGCTCATGCTAATGCCACATGGTGTGCAGGATTAAAATGCTTCCACAGTGTCCAATTACATCAACTCATCTGGAGCACAGGGGAGAGAATCAAGGAGCCAGCTTCATATCGAGGCCCAAACAAAATGGGAAATACCTCAAATTTTAGCAGTCCCTGAGGAAATGTAGGTAAAATGTGCCTGTGCTCTCCTTGTAGATGGAAAAGTGAGAAAGCCCAGACATGCCCTTTCTCCAAATTACCGCTCAGTGCCTGTGGACCATCATCCCCATGGGGCCCTTCTTCAGATTGGGTCCAAATCCCCTCAGGCGGGGGGCTGGAACTCCTCCAGCCCTTCAGAGTGGGAGTAATTCAAATGTGGACCCTCGTTTCTTTCACACCTGGCCAGAACCACTGTGTCTACTACCACCATACAAGCCCTTTCTGCACTAAATGCAGCCTGGCTTGGTGCTGCTGATGCAGACCTCCCCTGCCCATGAGCACCATTCCCTGGTCCTCAGTTTGGGCACTCGAGGGTTGGGCACTCCAGGCATGAGGGCGGGGATGAGAGCAGAGCCTGGGAGGCTGCTGTGGGGCCTGGATCGTCCCCATGCTTGTCCCTTGGGCCTTTCTCAGGCCCACGTCCGTCCTGTCTGAGGCATGAAGGGTCCCCCAGCTGCTCCTGCCCCAGCCCCAGTCGGGGGCCCGAGTGTGGCCCATGCTTTGGCTGTGCAGTAAACTGTTCCCTTAACCTAGCCATTCCTCAGAAGTTGTCCTGTGGGCCGCAGTGGCTTTCCTACCTGGAAACATCTCAGAAACCATGTGGTTTTTCTGCTGATTTAGGGTTAGTTGATCTATGTACCAGTCAGTGCTGACTGATGGGAAAAAGGAAAAATATTCCTCAAACCAATTTATAAGCCAAAGTCTAAAATGTCACATAATAAAACCCTTTGTCTTTAGAAAACCCTTTCTGTTAGCCCTCATCATGTTATTTTTGACTGATTCTCCACCATACTTCCAGAGTACAAGCTTCAGCCAACATGAAGGACAGAGTGGTGTTGAGCAGGTGGTCTTGACCCCATCCAAGTAGATCTGGAGGTTCCACTGTAGCAGGCAAATGACATTAGCAGAGAGCATCCTCCAAGAAGCAAGCAGCACATCTTACAGGATACCAGTCAGTGCTCAGGATCCCCCAGGGGCCCAAGGACACACCTGCAGAAACACTGATGGAAGCCTGGTCATGTGCGCCTCGGCCCCAGGCTGGCGTCATTCCTGATGGGATGTGGAGCAAAGAATGGACCCACTCTGGAGGGAGAAAATGTTGACAAGGGTTTACCCAACAAAGTGGCATTCATTCCATAATGACCAGCCATGGCGATGGCAGGGCCATGGGACACTAGGTGCTCGAGGGAGCTGGTGAATGGTTGGCCTGGGCCTCACAGCCTGTGCACCTTATCAGGTGCTCTGTCCTGGACATCAGGCCTGGCTACAGGACATGTTTTGGCCAATGAAAAATCAATAAATGTGAAGTGAGCGGTGTTCTGAAAATGTTTATATATGGGGTTTGCCCTCTTGCAACTCTACTATAGCCAAAAACATGTTTTAGGAAGGTGACTTGCCCCTGGCCAGCACCCACACAAAGACAAAGCCATATCCACTGACCCACAACATAGTACGCCAGAAGTGGAGGCTTATCTTCCTGTGCAACAGAGGCTTTTGTGAAGCGGCATTATTTAGCAATAGCTAGCTAAAACCATGTTTAAAAAAAGAAACTAAGGGGTGCCTGGGGGGCTCAGTCGGTAAAGCGTCTGCCTTCGGCTCAGGTCATGATCCCAGGGTCCTGAGATCCAGCCACATGTCGGGCTCCCTGCTTCTCCCTCTGCTGCTCCCCCTGCTTGTACTCTCTCTCTGTCACTCAAATAAATAAATAAAATCTTTAAAAAAATAGAAGCTAAGACGAAACAGTAAATAAAATGTGAAAAATTAGGACATAAGGAATATAATCCAAAAATACCAATGATTATATTAAATGTGAATTGATGAAGTACCCCATTTAAAAGTCTAAATATGTAACCTTAACACATATACATTGAAACAAGAACACAACAAGAAACAAATTAAAACGTAATCACAGTGTAAATATTTAGCACAAATCCCTCAGGGCTGATAAAACCAATTTGATAGGAAAAAAAAGAAAACACATGTAAAAATTCAGTAATATTATCTCACATCCAAACAAAACAATAAGATAATTGACCTAATCGGCTCTCTACAAACACTGCACTCTACATATATGTATGGGGTGCCGTGTTTGAGATTACTTATACAGATTGACATATACACCCATGGGTGTGTGTATTAGAAATATATGATATACTTGAAATCATGGAATTGTTACAATTCTGCATTTGCTAAGTGTTCAGCAAATATGAAACAATTTCAAATATTCAAATAATTGATAGTATGCTCTATGATCAGAGTGGAATTAATCTAGAAACCGATAATGAAAGATAAAATAGTTAAACAGAGATATATAAAAATATATCACTCAATACCCAGCTGTCAAGGGAGATAGCATAAAATGAATTAAGAGAATTTGAATTCATGCAGACTGAGTATGAATAGCGGGTGCACATGTAGAAATAAAATGCAAAGAAAAAAGGTGCAGTTGGGCAGGTAACAAGGTTTAAAGTTTTTAAGGTGCTTTCGTTGCCAGGAAATACTTACATAACTAACATATATTGGGAGTTAATAAATCTGAACTACATGGTGCAATCTGTAGGTTAAGCATTTGAAGTACGGGTAAAGCACGCACACAAATCATAATAAAACAAAAGTGGAATCATGAATTACCTACTCAAAGAAAGTAAGAAAGGGGGCTAAAGAGAAGCACAAGTCAATAATAACATGTCAAGCTTATTTGAATTGAATTCACTGAATGCTAGAATTGATTTAAAATAAAAGGCTTTATTCTTGTTGTGAGACACATATTTTGAGATAAGGATAGAAGAGACCGGATTTTATAAAATGGAAATGATACGCCAGGGAACACTAACCAAAAGTTGGCAGGTACACTTATAGGAATACTGGACAATGTAGACTTTAAGGGGAAAAGCACTACCAATGGGATATTTCATGATGGGGAAAAAACCCATCCCAAGACACATCATATTCAAAGGGCAAAGATATGGAAAA